AAATAAGGAAATTATATGCATACAAATATTCAAGGTCAAGGCAATATTCGCAAAAAAGTGACATTTTTAGACGTCAATAACTTCAATTTTTAGACGTCAATTTACGTAAATTCAATTATGTTGTTTTATCAATCACTGTTTATAAAAATCAGACAATTCATTGAATATTGCGATCGTCACGCATGTACGGTACTGAACGCACCATATCCACTAGCCGACCAGAGACCTCCCTGAGTTCACTGGTACTTACTTGCACGCACAGGCGGCATACACAGATATCCTGCAGTTGGGCTTGCATTGAAGGCAGTGCCTCACGATATGCGATTATACAAGTACTGTTCCCAATGAGAACATTGCGGAACTGCCTGCACTTTGAAAACTTCGTTATTTAATGTTGCAACGTTTTGAATAAAATATACTTTAGTACATATTTTTTTAGTGTGGCACTAACATTTTAAGTGTGGTGAAATCTTTGCTTATTTTTCCTAAGCGTGGTGCTCATTTCGTTTTTTTCGCCCAAGCGTGGTGCTCCCGCCACGCTTAAGTATACCTGGCGAGTCAAGGAATACAATAAGACCATTATCTTGAGTGTCCAAATCTTAAAAGTACCCGAAAACCAAGATGGCATCCAAAATGGCCGCCATTTAAAAATTTTATCCTAACTTTGCAACCAGACAAGTTGGAAGCACAAATGAAGTCGTATGTTTTAACGTACAGGAATAGAATCAAACCATTATCTGGAGGGTCCAATTTGTATTGTACCCCAAAACTAGTATGGCATCTAAAATGTTATCATACCATTGCAACCTGGTTAAAACCAAGAGATTTCTAAACATATTTTAAGGTACAAGGAATACAATAAAATCATTATCTAGAGGGTTCAAATCTTATACAGTTAGTAACCACAAAACTAGGTTGGTGTCCAAAGTCCGCCATTCTCAAAGTTATTGTAGCAACCAGACAATTTGGAAGTTTAAAACAGGTTTTATACAAACTAGACTTATACTCGTCACTGAGGATGAGTTTGGTTATTCGCCGCACTTTGACCCTCTAGAAGTGCTCGTGGTGAAGACTGAAAAGTTTTAAAATGCTCAAAATGGCCTAAAATATATGCTCCAATTAGCTTTAAAAAAAGAGTAATTTTGAGCATTATAAAAGACTTACACATACTTACGCACACGTCTTGACACCTGTGCGCACGGTAATAGCACAAAAAGTTGACTCCTGATATAAATACAGTGTCAGGGACCCAAAATATGTAACGAAACGTAATTTATAGCTTCAGTACGTCACTATGTGTGTGGAAATGAGCATGTGGCATGTAAATTATGGGGAGTTTTGGAGTTGAAAATTTTCAAATTTTAACGCAAACGTACGCCCAAGTTACGACGTGCACGTGCACGGTAATGGCACAAGAAATTGAACCCTGTTAATGTTTAAGTTAAAAACGCATGTAGGTTGGTAATGAGACCTGAATTTTCCTTTCATATGAACTATGTTATATCAGTCTGATAGTGTCAAAATACAGTCTGCCGCCCTCTGGGTTTGCACAAAGATTAAGAAAGGCTGAGGCTATTGGCACTGCCGCAGTGCGAAAAAAAGCTGCTGTTTTCTATCGGCACTGCCGCAGTGCCAAAAAGCTTCTGTTTTCTATCGGCACTGCCGCAGTGCCAAAAAGCTGTTGTTTTCTATCGGCACTGCCACAGTGCGAAAAAAAGCTGTTATTTTCTATCGGCACTATTGCCGCAGTGCGAAAAAAGCTCCAATTTTCTATCGGCACTGCCGCAGTGCCAAAACACTGCAGTTTTCTATCGGCACTGCCACTCGAAAAGCTGCTGTTTAATTATCAAATGAATGTTTTTATCTATAGATTATGGTATCAATAATTGGTTAGGTCTAGCCTAGCCTATAATATTGTTACATTATATTATATATGTTTTACAATTAAATTATAATTATTTCTAATTATTAAATATATACATAGCCTATATCTAGGCCCATACATAAAACAAAAAATAAAACAACAAAAATTTAAAATATTAGTAATAATAATAATAATAATAATAATATAATAATAATAACAGTGCTCGAAATGAATAAAAATTGATTAATTAAAGAGATGAATCAGTATATATTAAATCAACTTGCGTCTATGCAAAAACTGTTTTTTTTTTAAATAAAGGTGTTATCTATTTTATTCTGCTTTTTTAAAAAATAATCTTTATTTTCTATGATAATTTTATCCACATAATTCATGTTTTCAATGTTAGTATGGTTGGTAAATAATACATAAAATAATAATAATAATAATAATAATAATGAAGGTGCTCGAATAATGCTTTAATAAATAATTAATAATACTTCAATAATACTTCAATAGGCCTATTTGCGATAGTATGATTAATGAGATATTTGTTGAAATATTTAATAGGTATAGGCCCATACCATTAATAATGCTTCAGCATATTAAATCAACTTACGTCTATAGATGTAAAATCTGGGGGTTTTTTTCAATTAAATTTTAGCTATTTTATTCTGTTTAAAAAAAAAAAATCTTATAAAATACCGTACATTATAAAGTTTCATTGTAAATTATATGAGAATTTAATCCACATAAGTTATGTTTTCAATTATTTAAGCATTTAAACAATTCAGTGGGCCAAACGCTGGATGTAACAAAACAAAAACAAAAAACAAAAGCATCGCCAAAGGGTTTTCATGTATGCAAAATGCTAATACTATCGCGCGATTACCGCATATTTTTGGTAAACAGAGCTCAGGATGGTTCACACGAGGTGACGAATATCCGTTGAAATGCCGTATAAATAAACTGCAATTATGTAAATAACTTTCACAAGAACTTTACGAATATCTTAATTAATATAATCTTAATTAATATTTTAAATTAGTTAATTACTAATTAATTAATAGATTGATATAAACATTGTGACCTTATAACTACAATATATTTAATATGTTTTAAATAATAAATACAAGAATCCTGCAATTAATTTTTCAGGTCAGAAATTGGCATCAAAAAGTAATAATTTTTCATTTGCGATCTTCGTAGCTGTCGGTTCATGGAAATAGCGACGATAAACATATAATAATTAGTTTATAGTTTTTATTATAGTTATAATAATAATTATATATATATAATTATTATTATTATATACATATATTATTATTATATTTTAATTATATATATATATATATATAATTTAATAGACAAATAGGAAAA